CGGCCGCGAGTCGACAGCCCAAGAAATCCAATCCTCCACGCATCTGCTATCGGTTCTCTAAGAACGAGTGCGCCGCTGATACGTGTCGTTTTGACCACATTTGTGATTACTGCTGGACAAAGACATCGCAGAGGTTCAAACACTCAGCCGCTGACTGCCACAGGAAGCAAGCCGAAGAGAAACGTGCTTCATCTGCGGATAACGGGGCCAACGTCAAGTCGTCTTCCGCATGACTACCTCCGGACATGCAGCATTCTGTCAGCGACAATTTGCAACATTCTGTGAGTGACAGTTTGCAACATTCTGTAAGTGACACTTTGCAACATTCGGTACGTGACAATTCGTTATCTAGTATTTCATTGTATCACGATCTCATTGAACAGTGCCCTTCTGGCTTCTTCTCGGATTGCGACATGAACGTTGTTTATCTTAGTGATAGTGTTACGCAAGAGTGCTTATCGCACACGGACTCTTCAGACGTGTCGGAGCCGTGTAGTTTACTTACTGCAGCACGTGCTGTCCCCTCACAAGAGGATTTATTGTTGTCAAATCTCCGCACGAGCGGGTCGGCTCTGGATGAGCCAGTGTCTCCAGTTATTCCCTCACATGAGGATGTGTTGTTGTCAAATGTCCGCACACGCGGATCGGACTTGGCTCGGCCAGCGTCCCGAGTAATTTCCTCAGGTGAGGATGTAATGTTGTCAGATCTCCGCACGAGCGGAATGGACTTCGATTCTTCTGCTGTCAAGTTATTGAATGAACTCAGCGTATGTACGTTCGTCACGGATTCCCCAGCGGATCGGCCAACACCCAGCGTAGCAGACTTCGCGAGTTGGCATGCTCGGGTTCGACAGTCAGGCGTACCCAATTTTAAGTCCGAGCGCATTCCAGTACCCACCAAGCTACACGTTTCCGCATGGCGAGGTCTCCTAGATGGTTTTCATGACACTGTCTTATGTGACTTCCTGGAGTTCGGCTTTCCAGTTAATTACGAGTCATCCGCACAACCGCGAGTGCCGCGCACCAACCACCCCTCGGCTTTGCAGTACTCCAGTCATGTGGACAGGTTCATCAGCACTGAGTTGTCGCACGGAGCAACAATAGGGCCGTTGTCGCCGGCCACGTTCAGTCCCGGTTTGGTGTGCAATCCGTTGCAGACGGTTCCGAAGAAAGCCTCTCCGGATCGTCGCATCGTAGTGGACTTTAGTTACCCGCCCGGGTCTTCAGTTAACGACGGGATCCCCACCGGGACCTATCTCGGTCAGCCGCATCGGCTTCGCTACCCCTCCATGGATGATTTCATTGCGTTAGTTGTCAACGCCGGCACAGGCTGCCTCATGTTTAAACGCGACCTTCGGCGCGCATACAGACAGTTGTTCGTGGACCCTGCGGATTATCACCTGTTGGGATTCTCCTGGCGTGGTAACGCTTACGCGGACGTGGTCTGTCCCTTCGGCTTACGTTCTAGCGCACAGGCATGTCAGCGCACGACCGACGCCGTCGCGTTCATATATAATAGATGCGGATTTCGTTGTGTCAACTACTTGGACGATCTCGGCGGCGCAGACTCTCCGCACAGGGCCGAGTTAGCGTTCGATACTTTAGGTCGGCTATTACGGTACCTCGGACTGATCGAGGCGGACGACAAAGCCACGCCGCCGTCCACTCGTATTGTCTTTCTCGGTCGCACAGTGGACTCTATTCGCATGACTATCGAAGTGACACCGGAGAGACTTTCCGACACGTTGGCTGAGTTGGACCGTTGGCGTGTCAAGACCAGCGTCCGCCGAAATGAGGTCGAGTCTCTGTTGGGAAAGCTACACTTCTTGGGGTCATGCGTGCGACCTGGAAGATTGTTCGTTTCGCGGATGATATTGTTCCTGCGACGCTATTCGGATCGTCACCAGCGGCTGAGTATAGACTGTGAGTTTCGCAAAGACCTTCTATGGTGGTCTACGTTCTTACCTTGTTACAACGGTGTCTCCTTACTTCCGGTGACCGGCTGGACGGAACCCGACGCTGTTTTCAGTTCAGACGCCTGTCTGACAGGCTGCGGCGGCTTTCTCCACAGCACTGGGGAATACTTCCACGCCACTTTTCCGCCTTCCGTGCTCGCGTCAAACCCTTGCATCAACAGTTTGGAGCTACTGTCCATCTTGGTTTGCGCACGGCTGTGGGGCAAACACTGGGCCGGCAGCAGGATAGTAGTCATGTGTGACAATGAAGCATCGGTTACTGTGTTGAACTCTGGCCGGAGCCGCTCCCCGTTCCTCCAAACCTGCTTACGGAATCTGTGGCTCTGTGCGGCCGTAGGGCAGTTCGAGCTTCGCGCCATTCACATCCCTGGCCTCGAGAATCGCCTTGCTGATCACCTCAGTCGCTGGACGTCTTCCAACTACCACCAGAACGAGTTTCTGCGTTTATCAGCACACATGCACGTCTGTGAGGTAGAAGTATCGTTGCAGCACTTCGATTTACTGACTCAGTTGTAATTTTACAGGTCATCACACGCAGCTGCAGCGCTTGGACCATGAAGTCGAGGCGGCCAAGAGGTCTGCATTTGCCGCGGGTACCTACGCTAACTTACGGACTCAGTGGAAAGCGTTCCTGTTGTTCTGTGAGTATTTCCGGCTTACAGCCATTCCCACAGACGCGAGGACTCTGACCAGATACGCTCAGTTCCTCTCACGCTCCTTGAAGAGCCCCAGCACGGTCCAGATCTACATCCACGGTGCCAGACTGCTCCAACGATTCCACGGGTGCGAGCCTCCGCCATCTGACACGTTCGAGCTACGTCTTGTACTTTCCTCGTTCCGCCGACAATCCCTGCACGTTCCGCAGCGTAAACTTCCCATTACTCCGGCTATCCTACTACGGCTGCGGGATCACCTGGATCTAAATAGACCGCTTCATGCCACCTTGTGGGCGGCATACACCGTTGCCTTCTTCACACTACTTCGGAAGTCGAATCTCGTGCCTAAGACAACGTCTGCGTTTGACCCAGGCAAGCACCTGACTCGGGGTGCTATCCGTGTCACTTCGGACGGACTTGTGGTGCGTATAACATGGTCCAAGACTCTACAGTTCAAGCAGAGGGTCCTGCTGCTTCCTGTGCCGGCCATTCCCGGACATCCTCTGTGCCCACGACATGCGTACGTCAACATGTGCAGCCTTCTCCCGGTTGGATCGGACTCTCCAGCCTTCCTCGTGCCGGGCTCGGCGGGCAGGTTGGTATCATTGACACATGACTCTCTGGTGGCACATCTCAAAACTCTGCTCGCGGCCTCTGGACTGCCGTCAGGTGACTACTCCGGCCATAGTTTCCGCCGTGGCGGAGCGACATTCGCTTGGCATTGCGGAGCAGACCCTCAGCTCATCAAACTGCTCGGTGACTGGAGCTCGGACGCTTTCCAGTCGTACCTTGACAGCTCCTTCGAGCAGCGACGTTCGTTCGCTACTCTACTTGCGACCAGAATCAACCAAGGTTTCCTGGAACCGGACCGGGCCGCAGTATAGACTCATACGAACTCTACACGAACTCACGTTTATTGTTCTACTGTTGATTTATCCGATGCCTTGTACGGCATCTTGTTCTCATGTATATATATCATGTCTTAGCACTAGTTTGACTACCTGTATTAGGCATGACAGGGCAGTCCTCCGTATCTCCCGTTACTGCTACTAGCGGCCCTGCTCTGAGCCAGTTTTGTACCGTTTACATAACAGACTTGGCGAACTTCCATGTTAGTACCTAGTAGTTCCCGTTGTTCAGCTTGTCCGTCAGTTTCGCCTTTATTATCTACCAATTTCGCAATATGCTTCGGTTCTTTAGCCCACTCATTGTTAGCCAGTTGTCGCCGCACCGCAGTGTCGGCTCTTGTTGTACCAGTTCACTATTAGCCCCTCGGCGCTTTCATTGTTAGCCCCTCGGCCCTTGTGGCCTTTGTTTCGGCTTCCCTCCCTCCGCCTCTGGCCTCACTACTACACTTACTGCACTCTCCCCACCCTACTCTCTCCCTATGGGCTTGGTCTCGGTGGATTTGAAATGTTACATTAAAATTTTTACCAAGCCCAGCACCTGTATTGTCATCTTGAGTGAGAGTGCAGATAATTGTCAGTATTTGGGGCGCAGAACCAAATCAGTTAATTGACTGCACGGAAATGACTTCTGACCTCCGACCTGAGGTCGCATTCGGTTTCCGTTCTAATAGCGTGCTTAGTGCAGTCACTCTAGCAAATCCTCGAAAAAATCCTCCCACCCTCCCACCCGTGGATTTGAAATGTTACATTAAAATTTTTACCAAGCCCAGCACCTGTATTGTCATCTTGAGTGAGAGTGCAGATAATTAATGGATATTTTAGAAATAAGCACTTTTTTTAAAGTGGAGTGTGTAATTTTTGCTCATCTGTTCATTTCCTTGTCTTGCAATGGGCTGGGTCACTGGGCTGGGTCAGGGCAATTATCAAACAATAGGAGAAATCGGTAAAGTTCATGGTCAAAGGTTGTATCGCCCGACGCCCAAATTGCCGGGAGGTCCTGAAATGGTCTTAACTCTACTGTGTGCACAAATTACACGTTGATGTGTTTGGGTTCAACCTCCTGGCAACAGCGGGGAACAGAATACTTTTTGCTTAATTCAGTTACTTGTTTTATAGTGGCAAATTGAGTTCTTCTTTTAGCCGAGTAGGTAGAATAGAGAGCTGTTTTGTAAGTCACAGCTACCGCACATGCAATCTCTATTTACTTTTCTGTACAAGTTGGCTACTGTTGAAAATTACTTCTTTTCATCGATGATGAACCTAATTATTTCAGATCCTGACCTTTACTTTATAATCCCCTAAAATCTTCCTGAATACCTTTTGCTTTTAGTTCATCTTAAGTAATAAACTTGGTGGTTGTAATTACGTTCAAATAAATCCTGACGCTTTCTCGTCGGTTTTGGCTAACCTGAAAGAGTGCCTGCCCTTTTCCGTGAGGCTTAGCGAGCTATTGTTAGGCCACACCAAGTACATTTTATGGATGACGTCCGCGCGCGCATTGATTTTGGCCTCTTCCTAGAAAAAAAAACAAGAAATTTCGCTTCCCGTAACTATGACCAAAGAGTCTCGACAGTGCCGCAAATCGTCAGATTGATGTGAAACCCGTAACGCGAAGAAAGTGTCTATTGACAGGACCATCTTGTCAATAACAGAAAATTTGCACTATTGACAGGACCATCCTGTCAATAACAGAAAATTTGTCACTGTCCACTGTTCCACCTGATTTATTGCTGTTTTGATGATGAATAAAAGACTTCTTGCTTGTTACACTGTGTCACCCCATTCAATTTGTGTCCTAACATTTGTCGTCTCTTAGTATATTTCTAATCTAGGCATCTTGTTTTTTAGGGCCCTTCTTGTTTTTTCTCTCGCCCTCTCGCATTAGATTTAGGGTCTCCAAAGGACGTCATCCATAAAATTAACTTGGTGTGGCCTTACTTTGCTATACAAGTTGGCTACTGTTGAAAATTACTTCTTTTCATCGATGATGATTATTAAGATCCTGTCCTTTACTATATAATCCCTAAAATCCTCCTGAATACCTTTTGCTTTTAGTTCATCTTAAGTAATAAACTTGGTGGTTGTAATTACGTTCAAATAAATCCTGACGCTTTCTCGTCGGTTTTGGCTAACCTGAAAGAGTACCTGCCCTTTTCCGTGAGGCTTAGCGAGCTATTGTAATTCACCGTTAGGCCACACCAAGTAAATTTTATGGATGACGTCCACGCGCGCATTGATTTTGGCCTGTTCCTAGAAAAAAAAAGAAATTCCGCTTCCTGTAACTATTCTAATTGAGGCACGAGGGCGCTCCTGACCGGGTTTCGCGTCGTTAAGAGGCGACACCTGGTCGGGAGCAGTCCGCGTGCATTAATTAAACACCTGGACATTATCACGTGTCCAGGGAATCCTTTATAAGGCCGTGAGAGCATGTTTTCCTCCCCTTTCGACCTACGCCGGAGACTTTGGTCAGTGCTGGATAGAGAGCTTCGTTCCCGTCCTCCGTCGGCACCAGCTCTGCTGGCAGCTTTTCAGCCTCAGCTCGCGGTTCGCCTCTGTCATAGCCGCCGGCTGTCGTGCCGCATGGTTAGTGTTCGCATCTTGCATTTCTTTACCGAGTTGCAGCATGGTGTTTGTAAAGCGTGGTTGGTAAAGGTGGATGGGTGTTCCCACCTCGTGTTTGTGGCTAATTGTAAATGTTGAAAATGAAAGAAGTGAAAAGGTGGAGGGGTGTTCCCACCTCGTGTTTGTGGCTAATTGTAAATGTTGAAAATGAAAGAAGTGAAAAGGTGGATGGGTGTTCCCACCTCATGTTTAGTATGGCTACTTGTAATGTTGGAAAAAAAAAAGAAGTGAAAAGGTGGATGGGTGTTCCCACCTCATGTTTTGGCTAATTGTAAATATTGAAGAAAAAAAAAGAAAGAAGTGAAAAGGTGGATGGGTGTTCCCACCTCATGGTCGTTAAGGCTAATTGTAAATATTGAAAAAAAGAAGTGAAAAGGTGGAGGGGTGTTCCCACCTCAGTGTTATGGCTAATTGTAAATGTTAAAAAAAAAAAGGTGAAAAGGTGGATGGGTGTTCCCACCTCATGTGTGTTATGGCTATTTGTAAATGTTTAAAAAAAAAAAAAAGGTCAAAAGGTGGAGGGGGTTCCCACCTCATGTGTGTTATGGCTATTTGTAAATGTTAAAAAAAAAAGTTTAAAAGGTGGATGGGTGTTCCCACCTCATGTTTGTATGGCTAATTGTAAATGTTGTAATTGAAAGGAGGTGAAAAAGGTGGATGGGGCTCGTGTTAGGGCCATGTATTTAGAAAAAAAAAGTGGATAAGGTGGAGGGGTGTTCTCACCTTGTGCTTTTCGCCAATTGCAAACGTTGTATTTTAAACCAGGTGAAATCGGTTGATGGGTGTCCCCATCGCATGTTCTTTATAGGTAAATTGTAAGCGTTGTATTTTGTAAAGTGAAAAGGGTGGATGGGTGTGCCCACCTAGTGTTTATGACCAACCGTAAACGTGGTGATGATTTGAAAACAAGTGAAAAAGGTGGATGGGTGTTCCCACCTCATGTTTATTTGCCAACGGTATACGGCGTATTTCATTCGAGACAAGTTGGAGGGTGTCCCAGTCGTGTTATATATATATATGATCAACTGTAAATTTTGTCATGATTTGAAACGGGGTGAAAAAGGATGAAGGGATGTGCCCATCTCGTGTTTACGTCGTCATGACCAACTGTAAACGTTGTGCTTGGGAAAGAAGGGAAAAATATGGTTGAGTGTTCACGCCCCCTTAGTTTTAGGGCCAACAGCAAACGCTGTGCTCGAGAAGAAGTATGTGTGCGTGGTGTCCGCACAACGCTGAAGGTGGATGGGGTTCCCACTTCGTTTTTGTTTTGGCCATAAGATAAAAGTTATTCGTGAAAAGACAGGAGTTTTGCAGTGTGTCCGCACAAGGGGTGCGGGGGTTCGCTCCTCTAG